GGCACTGAAATAAGCTGAAAAACACAAGAAATCCCCTCTGGTCAGATTTAGCTATTTCATAATATTTAGAGGAAAGGAGAAGAACCACATCAAGTGCTGGACCTAAAATGGGGGAGACCCGGATTCACATCCTACCTCTTAGCACACACTAGAGAGATATAAGCTCACAAGCAAGTAACTCAACTTCTGAGTCTCAGCTTCCTCATCTGTAAAATGGATATATCACATCTGTAGTCCTACCTACTTAAGAGCTGTGATGAGAATATACGTAAACCGGGGTAGTTAGGTGGCACAGTGGATAGAACACCGGCCCTGAGGTCTAGAGGACCTTAGTTCAAATCCAGTCTCAGACCAAATACTTGACACTTACTAGCTGTGTGACCCTGGGCAAGTCACTTAACCCCTATTGCCTTAAAAAAAAAAGAGGGAGAGAGAATATATGTAAACTGCTTTGCAAACTTTGCATCACAGAAATGCCTATTCAGAAAAGGCACCATGCACAATTATGAAGCCAGGGAATGCATCTAGCTGTCCTTTCTCTGGAAATGCAGTGACAGGTCAAGGATTTCTTGAAAACATTCAGCTTCCTTTCTGAAGAAAAGCTACCTCACACTATCTCTTACCCATGTTTACAAGAACCATGAGGATGTCCCCCATCACATAAACCAAAATGCAGGGCACCTCACTTATAGCCGAAGAGAAAAAAGTAAAACTCCCATGAGTCTGCTTAGAAACTTCCAAAGTTTCCCCAGTCGTTCCCATGGAGTCTCTATGGAAACAGGCATCAAATTAAGCAGAAATGTTCATCTCAGTAAGTTCCCAAAGACTTCTTGGCAGGGTGTCTCATTTCCTACCCACTCCTAGCTCCAGAGCTGTTCATGAATGCGTAGCCAGCGGCTGAACAGAGATCCCATCGTGCTCACTTCCAGTTAAGACATTCCGGGAAGTCAGTCAGCAAACGGTTCACATATGAAAGGCACCGTCCATGGCCTGGCCTATTTCTGTGCATGTTAAATTCACCTAAACTCAATTCCACCAAAATCCTGACACATGAAAGGCATACATAAGACCATAAGAAACAAAGATTTCAGGAACTTTGATGAATTCAGAAAAGTGCTGAAAGACTGATTGATGCAACTGAAAGGAACCAGATAATTATTAAAACTGAATGTTGTCTTATTACAATAACCAAACTTGGCCCCAAAGAAACGATGAGAAGACCCCTCCCCCTGCTCCTTTGCAGAGAGCCTAACACCATGGAACATTGCATATGATGTCATACTTTCGAGGTGATGATCAATTTTTGAATTTTTTCCCTTTAAAAAAGGAATTTTACAAGGGATTTTATTACAAGGGATGTCTCTCTGAGAGGGGAAAGGGGAAAGAATAGAGGGAAATGTAGGTCAAGTAAAAACAAAAGAGAAATAAAACCTTTTTTTAAAGTAAAAGTATCGGGGCAGCTAGGTGGTGCAGTGGATAGAGTGTTGGTCCTGAAGTCAGGAGGACCAGAGTTCAAATCTGACCTCAGACCAAACCCTTGACACTTACTAGCTGTGTGACCCTGGGCAAGTCACTTAACCCCAATTGCCTAAAAATTTAAAAAAAAAATTTTTTTTAATTAAAATAAAAGTATCATGTAAAAAATGCAAGTGGGAATATTTGAAAAACCCAACCTGAATTCATTAACATCTTTTTGTTGAATTACATGACTTCCAAGGTCCCATATAGCCCAATGCAAACATTTTAATTTGAATGAAATGAACAGACACTTTTACAACAACTGTATATGATCCTAACTTTCAAGAGACTGATGTTTCAGAAAATAACAACAGAGCACTGGCCAGAGGGTTAGGGAAACTGGAGGTTTCCCTAAATCACAGCTACTCCACACCAATTCTACCTATGCCTTGGGCAACTCCATTCTCCTCTGTCTGGGCCTTAGTTTCCCTATCTGTAAAAGGAGAGGGATCTGACTAGACTAGGTGTATAGGGAATATTCTGATTTATTTAGAATTGATTTCCAATCAACGAAGTCACAAAATTTTTTGGTGTATTCTTGAATCACGTCCCAGCCTTTTCTGTTTGAAAAATTACTATTTTATTTCTTATATGTACTTAACATAGTAAACTCTACAATTTACTTTCTTTCACCTTGAATAAAACTATGGGGACTAAAAAAGGTTCCCTGCATGTAATGACTTCTGAGGCCCTTTCTTGTTCCCACACACTTACGAAAAGGGCCAATGTCACAGAGTGACTATGCAACAAAGGAAAAATGCCATCTCAGAGCTGAGAGGGACCTTAGAGAGAGGTTAGCCAGCTTGGCCATTTTATAACCGTGACACGTTTTGTTAGATACTCAGAACCGCAGTTCAAACAGATCATCTTGGATCCCAGCCAAAGAATTTTTACTCAAAAAACCCCCAAAATCCCTCATTGGTAGTAATGGAGGGAGACACTAGGAATTACTTCATTTCCAGTCTGATTTTCCTTAAAAGTATCCGGCTTGAAATTATGTGCCTCCTTAACAAGCACTTTCAACTTTATAAACAACTGCCTCTGAGGTGGTGAAACCAGGAGGACATCCCCAGTGTGGTTCATTTTTCATCTCTTAGGACGTAGAAATGGATGTTATTCTTTAACAAGGCTCGCTTTGAAGGCTGGAAGGTGATGGGAAGACTACATACAAATACACCCTAGAAGATCAACATTCCATGTATCTGCAGCCCACAAGAGGGGCTCTGTTCTGAAAGACCTGAAGTTTCTTTTTGCATTTCTAAGCATTTCTGAGATGCAGATACACAGAAAACATAGCCTACAGGCTTTGTCATTCCTATAAGCACAGGTCTACGCAGCCAGAGAAAGGACCTGTCCACTGACAAACGAGCTCAGGTCCCTGGTCCATCCAACGGAATCTAACAATTACCCAGAGAGCACTTCGAGGTCCTCTGGACCTGTGACAAAAACAGTAGGTATGAAATCCACAGGGTCGGCTGGCCTTGTAGGACATGACTGTGACTTCATCCCAAATCTACCTTGAACAAAACTGGTGTGTGTTCTTAGTGGAGAGAGCAGAGACAATGGACAGCGTTGAGTAACAAAGACCAGAGAGGACAGCAGTGTTAAAAAGGGATAAAGCATTTTAATTTGAATTAAATATACATAAACTTTCACAGTCAAGTGTGTGTATGTATATATGTATATATACACACAGACACACACATATACATATATCTCTTGATGTGATTAGTGTAACACATATAAAATACGTTTTATATTACACACACACACAGAGCTCAACGCGGTGATTAGTATAATCACTTTTCATATTCTATGGTTTTCCTTTCAAAGATGGCTCCTTTTAAGGGTGTGGCCTATATTCCAACCAATACAACCCCCTTTCATCAGACTGGTCCTCAGTCTGGGCTGAAGGAGAACTTCATGCATGAAACTAATTCAGCTCAGAAGTCTACAATGATTAGCAAAAGAAAGTATGGCTATTGCTGACCCTCCCGCCCTAGCCACACCTTGAACTCTGGGGCTGGGAAGCAGCTTCCCCTCCCTCACCTACTTCAGCAAACTCATGATTTAAGGAGTGGTTCTTTCTCCTTGACTCACGGGCAACAGAACTAACTGTTTCTCCAGTTTTTTGGCTACTTGTCCAACTGCATTGAAGCCCTTCCTCACGGCCCCTTCTCCAACTCACACCCTTGACGCTCAGATTTCAGCAACTTCCCCAAGTCACAGTTTGAGTCCGCACCTCTAAAACAGTTATTGTGCGGAGTGGGAAGCGGGCTGGAAGAACCTCTATTTCAAAGATGCATTTCATCACAATTAATAAACGCAACAGAGTGGCTCTATGGGGTGGCGGGTTAATCCCGTTCTAGGTACTTTCCAGAGACAAAAACCATGACTTTCTATTATGCTCCAAAGCAGAGGAAATGTCAAACGAACTCCAGAGGCTAGGGAGTCTGGCCAAACACAGAAGGGTAGCACCACACCCTTCCAAATGTTTCAAAGCCACGAAGAGGCATATTCAGCCCTTAGTTCCTCAGAAGGCAAAGGTTAGAAGACTGGTGATTGTCATCTCAGTTAAACGTTATATTACCATTCATGACGTACTCTTATCAATGAACTCTGTACTACTGAAAGGCATCTGTAGGAAGGGAATGGTGTTCACCCCAAGCAAGGCCAGTTCAGTTCTAGGGCACATGGAGGCCCATCCCAAATGCAGAGGACAGCTGACAGGCAGGACTGAGAGACAGGAGGGGATGGCCCACAGAACTTATCTAGAGACACCAACGTCCAGAAAGGCTGGTGAGCGGCTCGGGGCCACAAGGAGTGAGTAACCAAACCAAAAGGTAAGTCTAGCTCTTCTGAATCCAAACCCACAGGCCTTCACCGTGTGAAAGGCTAATCCCGGGGGCTGAAGGTCTACCTTGTATCAGCCCAGTTTCATCACAGCCTTTCAGTTCTGATTTTAACTAGGCATGAACCCAAGTTTTCTTGGATCCTCGAGGGACAGAACATTGCTAATCAGGATTTCATTCTAAAGTATTCAAAGTATAGTCTGAAAACACTGCAGAAAGCTGGGAGAAGAGGTGCAGGAAATGGATCTTTAAAGAATCAATGTAATGGGTGATCTTAAGGACTAACCAGTTAATATAGTCCTGGGGTTACAGAAATGTTCTTTTACAGTGCTCCAGAGGCTTTCAAATGAAGAAATCCAAGCTAAACAGCCATGTGAAAAAATGCTCCAAATCATTAATAAATTAGAAATATGCAAATTAAAACAATTCTAAGCTCCCACCTCACACCCTTCAGACTGGCAAAGAAGGAAAGTGACAATTACTGGAAGGGCTGCAGCAAAGCAGGCACACTAAGCCAAATACAGGTCCAGACACTGTGGAAACTGTCTGGAGCTACGGCCCACACGTCACTGAACTGTACATACCCTCTGACCCAGAGATACCAAGAAAGACCAAAGAGAGAGAACAAGATCCATAGGTACAAAAATATTTATAGCAGCTCTTTTTGTAGTAGCAAAAAACTGGACAAGAAGGGGGTGCCCATCCATCGGGGAACAGTGAACAAATGGTGGTCTAAGAACATAACAGAACGTCGCTGTGCCGGAAGCGAGGACGAAAGGGAAGGTTTCGGGGAAACCTGGGCAGATTTGTGTGACGAGAGAACAACTCATACGATGGTCTAAAGACAGAGCCAGTGACATACATACCACACATTCCTGTTACTCAGGACAAATCTCATGGTCCAAGACAACGTGGCGTGGAGGGGCCCTGTGACCTCTGTCCGCAGGCGGGGCCCACCCGGAAGGGAGAGCAGCCAGTATCAAAATCGAACCAGAAAAGGCTTTCAAAACAGACGCTGTTTTTATTTTGTACTAAAAATCTAGTGAGCTTTTGGGTTGTTTTTCTTCCTCCTCGTCCTCTCTGAGTGGCTGCCGTCCTCGGCCCTGGCCCTCTCCTCCTCCGTCTGCTGCTTCAGCCACTCTTTCCGCAGCTGCTTCAGCATGTGCGGGGTGAGCCGCCCTTGGCGCACCAACTTCGAGGCCAGGGACTTTGAAGCCAGACTCTCGGCCATGGCGGCCTCCACGGCTTCTCCCGAGCTGGGCTTTGCAGCCCCCGGCAGCTGGCCCTGCTTCCCTGCTGGGGAACTGTCCAAGTTCAACATACGCTGGGCCTCAGACATGCGAATCAGCGTGGTGATGTTGTGCACACCCTTCTGAATGATGCCATCGAGTTCTTTCTGGAGGTCTCGGACGAGGCTGGCATCAGGGAACATGTCCACAAACCGGTAGCTAAAAGAAAGAAGGCATTACACTGGGGCCCCAACATTGGGTTCAACCACAGTGATCAGGGTAAAAGCCGTTTGGCTTTTACCTGCTACATGGACACAGCCAAGTTCTGTCTTACTGCAAACCCAGGAAGTCTTTGTACCCGACCAACAGCTATCTAATGGTGGGATGGCTTCAAAAGGACTGCCTCAGGACAGCCAGCAACTAAAGACGTTCCTAGGGCACCATGTTGGGCCTCCTGAGCTAAGGACAAAAAGCCCCCTGAACATCAGCTCAGCACATGCTAAGTGCTGACTCTTCTTGAGGCCTGTGGTGAAATTCTCAACTACCAAGGGGCCTCCAATCTGGCACAGCAACAATGAAGACTATTCATGGTGAAAACCAGGGCAAGGAGAGACATTTTCCCCAGCACTTCATGGAGTACAAGGCGGTTTCTTCTCAAAAGCTCCACGAGGTCCACAGTGTAAGTATCATGACCTCAATCAATAAGCGTTTACTTCTTAGCCATGAAACCCAGAGCAGCAGCTACTCCTCGACTGATGACATTCTAACTCCACTGGGCAGGTAAGGAGACTAAGGCTCACAGGGATGTTCCTTTGTCTCCTAAGGTTCCCACCGTCTTACTCTTTCCAACACCATCGCTTCCTCCCTTGTGGCCAGAGGTCAGGCCACACAGTCTCACTGGCCTCAGGAGCCAGGGACCTGCTCAAAAAGCCCCTTGCTGGGGCCCAGGTCTGCCCCTGCTGCTGCCAGCCCTCTGCGGAGGCTAGACTGGGTGACCTCTAAGGGCCTTCCAGTTATAAATCTCTGATCGTGTGACCTGGCCTTCACTTGAATGAAGATGCATGCTGAGTACAGGACTCAAAGTCAGGCAAGGCAGGGTTAAAGACCAGCCCCAACGTCACACAGCTCAGTCACTTAGCCTGGCTGGTCCTCAGGCACCTCATATTTAAAACGGAGATAATGACACTTGTATTAGCTTTCTCGAGACCAATGTGAAAACAATCATGGTCACCCTTAAAGCACAAGAGATTCCAGCTGTTTCCAAAAGCTTTTCAATTTGCCCCAAACTGGAGCTGCGCTTGCTGCCACATCGCCATTACCTGAGCCACAGGTAGAGATCCAGAACGTCGTGGACGGCTTCCAGTTCCACGAGGTCCTTGATGTTTTTCGGTGGCTGTAAGGGCCACCTGGTGTATCGGCGTATCCAGGCAAACGTCAGTGGCTCATTCCGACTGAACTGCCTCGCAAACTAGGAGCACAAAGACAAAGGCTCAGGAGGGGAAGAGGCTGGCTGCACAGCTTCCCTCCCAGGAACCACTCTGCCCACACCCCAGCTTGCCCCGTCTTTGGTCCCCCTCTGCTCCTTCAGCCGCCTTCCCTCACTGGCACTGACCTGCCAGGAAGGACCTTGGCACTTACGGACCTGAGTGGCTCTGCGACTTTGCCCATTTCATCTCTTCCCCAACTGGATGCTCGCTGACACCTTCACTCTAAGGCTTTAAGTCCTCTCAAGGCTGCGCCACTCAGACCCACAGCCCAAGCTACTCTCTCCCAAGGACCTGAGGAGCGCAGGGGAGGGAGGATGCTCACCTGTAACAGGGAAGAGCAGACAAACGGCTGCTTCTTGTTGATGGGGGCCGTGCAGAACACGTACCTCACCCGCAGGCTCAGGGGGATGTGCTGGATGAGGTCTGCTGAGAACTTGAAATCATCCATGTTGCAGACAAAATACTGCCCGTCAACCTGGGAGAAGTCCACAAAGATATCCTAGGACAAGACAGAAGACACAACACCAAGTCAAGGCAAGCAGTCAGTCCACGCAGTGCCCAAACCCGACATCGACGGAGCGACCAGGCCAACACAAGGCACTCACTACAACCCCGGGCAATGCGGGCTCTCTGCCCCCCAAATATTCTAAAAGAGGCAACTGTAGGTCCAAAGTCCCTGGTGACGCGTGAAAAAAGAAAAAAACCTAAGGCGATATTTTTTTTTTTGGATTTTCTTTTTCCTAAGTGAGGCAATTGGGGTTAAGTGACTTGCACAGGGTCACACAGCTAGTAAGTGTCAAGTGTTTGGTCTGAGGCCACATCTGAACTCAGGTCCTCCTGACTTCAGGGCCAGTGCTCTATCCACTGCGCCACCTAGCTGCCCCCAAAGGCGATATTTTAAAGACAGAATTTCCAAGCCTGCAATACTAGAAAAAGTTATATAATGAATGAAAACAAATCCAGCTATCCCAAACACACTCATAAGGAGAACCAGTAACTGCCACACATTTAACATTACTGTTGAGATGTAACACAAAGAAAAATTAAAAATCAGAGTCTACTTACGATAAGATTGGCGAGAGTCGTATCTGGGAGATGGTATGCAAACATTTCAATCTGGTCAGCAGTAGGATGAAGGCCAGCTGCCTTTAAGGAGCGTTAAATACAGAGAGAATTAATGAATCAACCAAATAACGTGAGAAACCCCCTCAAACCTCTTCTATAATAAGGCAGTAGTCACCTAATAAATATTGGCAGAAATGACTTGAGATTTTATATTCAGAGCAGAAACTGTGACTCCAAATGGCTCCCAACATATCACTTACATTGCAATGATGTGCACTAGAAATGACTTGGTTAAGTAAGAGAGTAGTGATTTCTGGGTCACTTCCCACATTCCTAAGGCCTCTACCACTCTGGTAGACTATCAGAAAACAGTTCAAGAGTAGGAAATGTCTACAAGTCTCACCGCTGACCAGTGACCACTGACCAATAGTGGGGATGGAAAATCAGAGGAACATCAAGAAAAGACCACAGCACTGGAGACTAGCAGCCTCTTCAGCCCTTCACTTGACCCACCAGGCCAAGGAATGCCCACGGACAGGCATAAGGTCTAAGAAGCAGGAGAAAAAGGGCAAAAGAAAGGATGGGAAAATATAAGAAGGCACATCAAGGAAAAGGACAGCCACAACAGAACAGAAAGATCTCTGGATTGGGACCCAAGGAGCCTCGGGCTGTGCCCTGGCTTTGTCACTCACGACCTCTTCTCTAGGCCTCAGCAAAGAGGTGGAACGGGCCGGCCTCCAAGGTCCCTTCCAGCTTGGACCCTGAACTCCTGTGACTCAATGGTGCAGTGGCCCCACAGCAAAAGTTTGCCCACCCTGGCCTTAAGCAAGCAGATATAAGCTTGTATTTCTATGGCAGCTTCTACCCAATGAAGTAATGGCTCATTTATCCATCACCAAGAAACACGAATGAGGCGCCCTAGCCAAGAGAACTTCCCACATCACGGACACTCAACAAGGCACAAAACCAGCCTCTGTCTCTGAAGCACGTGTTCATGAACAGTCCTAGCACCGAGCCGTTCCCTTAGTGACATGAACACCTCTTAAGGTTTCAGGGCAGCCTAAGTCCGTCCCAAATGGCTCCAGAGAGCCACACAAGAACACTGACAGAACTGACCCCTGCTGCCCCTTCTCAAGGTATCATTTCGAGCAGCTCTTGGACCCTGACAGCCTCCACCTCTACCTACCTCCTACTTTCAATCACCCCAATCTCCAGCCTCATCATCGCACTTTTCTCCCACAAGCCTGTGATACGTTCGGTACAAATATCATTCATACTATTTTACACACAAGGAAACTGAGGCCTGTCCAGGGTAACACAGCGAGGACTAGGCAGAGCTGAGAAGCAAGGCCAGGCTTCCTGAACACAAGCCCAAGGGACTTTCTCCTGTGCTGCAGGGTGTGTCTCTAAAGAGCTGAAGGATGGATGGCCGCAGGAACCTCCCTCCTCGAAAGGCCTCCAGTACACAGGCTTGATGACCGCTCCATCTCCACAGCCGGAGGCCCTCTTGACCACCTTCATTCTAAGCGGTGTGGTGATGCCCTGGACACCTCACTGAGCAGGGCAGTGAGGACAAGGCACGTGCTTGGGCTGACTTACCCCTATAGGCTCCACAGGCTTATTCAGAATCTCTTTCAGTAATTTCAAGTCTTCCGGATACATGGTAGTAACCTCCCCTTCTTTAAACTTGGAGCTGAATCTGCCAGCTCTGCCCGAGATCTGCAAAGCCTGCGAGGTGCTGATCGGCTCCATTTCCTTCTCCCCCTTCTCATTGATACTGGGCTTTATGAGAGAGTTAAAAATAATTCTTTTTATGCTCCTGCAACAAAGTCAAACAAGAGAGATCACAGAGTAATCTCAGCAGCTCAGGGTGCAGCCACTGTTGCAAGATGAGAACAGGGACACCTTTCTCTCCCTTTCAAGGTGCAGCCTTGGAACAACTGGACTATGAGTGTTCCTGGGGATGAGGCTGGTGGCCAGTTATTACTAAGGAATTCTACAAAGAAAGCCTTTTGCACCATCCCCATGAGGCAGATGCACACCGCCACTTCAAGGTAATGCTCGTAACGTGGGCACAGCCCCCCGTGATATCAGGGTCCAAAAATAAAAGTTGGCCAACTGACCGAAGATGAGGGACATGGCCTGTCCACAGGCCCCATCGGGGGCTCAGGGGTACCTGAGAAGGGGCCTCCTTAATAGGAGAGTTCTACCATTCTCTACGTGCCTGCTAAGGGTCAGCGACAAGCCACAACATCTCAGGTCTACATGGCAAGGAGCCTCGTCCCGGAGGGCTACAACCGGCTGGCTGCACAGCCATGGAAAACCATCCACTTCCCCTGTGTTCACAACCAAGTACTCACAAGTTCAGCCCCATGCCAATTGCATCGGTAGCCACCAGGATTTTGCACGGATCATCAGGATCATTAAACTTTTTCGCCTGGGCAAGCTTTGTCCCTACAACAGCGCCAGTCACAAGACAGTTAGATCGGGCCAGGCCAACTCAAGCCCTCACACACACTGAGCATCTTCATGTCCCTCAGAGACTTCCCTGGCCCCTTTCCCAGCCATAAACATTTCCTTTCTCCCACAGGCCTCGATCTTCTCCCTACCCGTCCCAAAGCCCTGGCTGTCTTCCCTTCTAAACAAGCTCTCTTTCTCCTGTTTCTGTGGACAACTTTGGAGGGCTCAGACCCAATCAAAGAAAACTCACCCCATATTTTAAGGGCATTTCTATAATCAATAATGAACATACAGACGCGTCGACAGCCTCAGCTACCAGAATGAAGTCTAATTCCAGATCGTTCCCATGGAGAAATCCCATCTCCCACCCCCCACCACAGAGCATGAGCCAGCACCGCACCCCCCAGCCCCATCTCAGACACATGACGAGGCAAACCTTGTGATGATGAAAACCCGTCCTTACCAGGGGGCAGACTGCCATAGATGACAGCCGACTCCAGGCCCCGAATCTCAATCTGACGACTCACGGAGTAAATGTCATTCTTGCTAAAACAGACAATGCAGTCCCCAGGGCGAAGGTTATCTAGGGACTCGAGAGCCCGATCCAATACGATGATGGGGGTCAGCCTCTCGTAGTTTCGAACCTAGGATCAGGTGTTAAAGACAGTAAAGAAACGCGCATCTTTCTCAAAGTTAACTGAGCTTAACAACAATAACAAAAAGCTCCTACTTTTTCATTTCACTTAAAACAATGCTGGATTCGACACAAACTTTAACAAGTCCTCTTGTACCAGAATTAGAACCATGGAATCTCAGGGCTGGCAGGGGTGCTTGAGACCGTCTGGTCAGCCCCTAAGCCCCTCCCAGGAGGGGGTCCTCAAAGCTGCTAACGGCAGAGCTGAATCTAACAAGGATGCTTGGTACCTGCCCTCCACCCACAGAGGAGCCACATGGCAGATGCCTGCTCGGCCTAACAGTGGCTGCCCTATGCACAACACTTCCCCCTTTAGGTCAGGTACATTTAGGAAATTTAGAAACCTGTCTGGAATACAAGACACACATTTCGCTTAAGTAACATTAAAAACTGAAGGAACCAGAGGCAAAAATTAAAGCAGTATCATGTCACCCTTCCTGCAGGCCAACAGAAACAAAGGTCAGGGACTAACTACCTGGAACCTAGGGTCTGTCACCAGGACAGCTAGAGTCAAACCCAGCTCTGCTGCTCACAAATGGGTGAGCCTAGGAGGCGACGGAGTATCTCAGGAGGCAATGGATGTGCAGTCGGGCCGGAATGGAGCTCTGCCTGTCTGGCTCCCTTTGCCTCCATCTGTACCAAGAGGAGGGGGAGTGGCCTCCTCCCCTCCCCCCATGGGCTGCACATCCACCTTCCTATGCTACAGCCCCCATGCAGCTCCTGGAGAGCGAGTCCACAGTCTGGTTTCTCCAGGAACTCAACTTTTAACAGTGTGCATTCACGGGGAGGGACCATCACAGCAGGATAAAGTGATCAAATGAAATTTTAAAATGTGGCTGGAGAATGAATATATCCAAGTTCTTAGCACTGGATTGATTCTCCTCACTTTGTTTTGTCTGCTTCAGAACCATCACTATCTCACCTGATGTAGTGCCATTTTAATGTTTTGCAAAGACCTGACCCCTTTAATTCTCTCTTTCACTGACACAAGCATCAGAAATCGGGAGAAATCTCCACCAAGGCTGGTTGCCAGCTCAGGCTTCAGACCACATCCACACTGGTGGAGCTGCATCTACACCCTCTGCAGGGGGAGAAGACAGATGGCTCTCATTCTCTTCTTTCCTTCTTACCTCCACCCAAGTCACAAGTTAAGAGAAAAGCAAATCAAAACAACTCTTCTGAGGAGGGATTTATCTCATACCAGCTAACTGGCAACAGTCAGTATTGGAGGGACCGCCCAAAGACAGGCACACTGGTCCTTGGCTGGTGGACCTATGGAACGGTCTAGCCACTCTGGAAAGCAAAAGCGTGTAACTGCCCGCCAACCTGGTCCACGACTGCACCACCAGAAGCAATAGCTGCCAACTGGAGCCCATCCTAGAGGCTAGAGTTAGTGAGGAGGGGGTGACCTGGTCAGGCTGCACTCACTGAAAATTACCCTGGCAACAGAACATCCATAGAAGAGAGCAGAGGGGAAGGGACTCAGGAGCTAAGAGGGGCTGAGGGTCTATAGTAACATGGCGGCCCATGGGTCAAGAAGTGGGAGACATGCTGTCAGGGTAGGAAGACAGGCAGTGGCCTGACTCTGTGGGGTGAGGGAGAGGGAGGAGCTGGCAAGAAGGGCAAGTCTACACACCTGGCAGGCGGGAAGGATGGCACAAGGCAGAGGATCGGCCTGGGGCACTGAGAGGAAGAGGTCAGACCTGCCCAGGGCACGAAGACAGCACTGGAAGCCAGGTCATCCTGACCAAGGATGGCCCTGCTCACTGTGCCACCCTGCCTCTCCTACAGTAATGTGACAAGCCATGCGGCAAGAAGGACCTTGTGGGGCCGGGAGGACAGAACAGACCCATTACCTCCACTTCCTCTCCCGTGGTGTACATCAGCTCCGTCACGATATCAATAGCAGCAGCTTCTCCACACAGATGGATTTCTTGTGCACAGAGTCCTGGGAGGGTAAAGGAAAAGCATAACTGGAACACACAGAGAACAAAACAGCCCAAGGGACTTGGTCTGGAGAGTCAGAGCCTCCAGGATCCCCTGAAAAAGATGGGGAGGGGGAGTGGAGGGGAAGAGAAAGGAAAGGAAGGGAGAGGAGGGGGAGGAAGGAAGGAGGAGGCGGGGAGCAGCAGCTCAGCCCTGATGCCACAAGACCCCAGGGGAAACAGTGAAATACTGACCCAGGAGTGCTCTGGTCCAGGCCCATCCTCTAGCTGGATCTTTAATCATCTGAATTTCATCGATCACGGCCACGTCATCTTAAAAGAAGAAGCCACGGTCAGCGTTCGGCAGAGCAGAGAAATATCATCACATCCCAAGGACGATAAACGCACCCCTGCTCCTTTATCTGAGGAAACCTACAGCAAACACTCCCCTTTTCTCATCTTTTGGGGGGTTGTTCCCCCATAACTGACCCAAAGCAATATTCTGTTTCCAGCAAGGTCATTCTCTGCTGTCCCCAGGCTGGGTGGCTCAGGGCTTCCCTTAAGAGGCTCCAGTGGAGGCCCCTGTGGTCGTAGGAATGGGAGGAGTCACCACGGTCCCCCGCGAGATGAGGCCTGTGCACCTCCAGCCCGGGTGGGCAGTGCTGCCTTCAGAGCACGCCTTGGAGCTCACCCCGCCCCCCACTCATCCAGCAGGTACAGGGTCCATGCCCCCGTCCCACTGCCCACAGCTCACGTCCTCTCCCTCCAAGCTGCCAGGCTTCCTATTGGCGGCATTTCCCCCAAGGCGTTCCCCTGACAGTCTCACCAAACACACCATCTTCCTTTAACAAACAACTGACATCGATTCGGCTATGGGGCATTTTAAGGATTATGAAGCACTTTCCTCAGGGTAATCCTGTGGTAGGTTTATAAGTGCTGTTATCCCAATATGCAGATAAATAAACTGAGGCTCAGAGATGAAGTCCCTTCCTGAGACTGCAGGACAAGCGCATACCAGGGCCAGGACTCAGGCCTCCAGAGGCCAGATGCCCAACGCAGCGCTCCTTTCCCCTCACCACTGACCCCCAATCCCACGCACAGATTGGAGCAGACGAGTGAAAAAGATCCTACGCTCCAAGGGCCTCTACAGGCAAACTAGAAACCTAGTGCTAGAATCCAAAGCCCCAAGGGAGCCAGACTCACTGATACCTACAAGGGGACGTGACGCTGCACATCTCAACAGTGCAAGCAACGTGGGCGGCTGGCTTTCCATCTGGGTCTGCCATCACCCGTTCTTCCCCCGTCACCAAGTCACATGACACACCCTATGGTGATGAAAAGAAAATCAATTTCTACCTTGAAAACAGCAGCACATACATCTTTTAAAACAACAATTACCAAACACATCAGGACTCTCCTCTAACATGGTAAGATTCGCCCTAATGTTAACAACACGTAGTGGGTAACCGGCTGGCTGCGCCAGAATGGGCTTGGTACGGATTTCTAAAGGTAGCCGCCGAGGTGGGATGCTTTAGTGAACCCAAGGGACACAAGAGCGCCCAAGCCTCTTACCAACAAGTGACCTCTGCTCCCCTCAGAACCAGGTAACGAGGAGGGGAGGAGGAGGAAGAATTCTAGGGCCTATCTGGGCAGCCACGTGGCGGCCGACCCCAGTAACGGCGGCTCCACAGGGAGAACCCTGAGCCACCAGTCAGCCCATCCAACTGAGGCAGCGGCCAAAGGCAAAGACGGTAGCTGCAGAGGGCTCCCTCCCCTCCTTGCCCCCAAGCGTCTCTGTGACAAGAAGGGAGGGGAACAGCTGGTGACATACTGACAGCATCATTACTCTTTTCGAAGATCTCGTGGGCCAGCAGCTTCAAAGGGCCACAGTAAACCCCCGACTTGGCAGCCAAGTAGCTCTGGATGGCATGGTAGGTTTTGCCGCTGTTGGTGGGGCCAGCATGGAACACTACCTTCCGCCGAAATGATCTGGCTTCTGGGTACCTAAGAAAGAAGGAAGGGAAACGGTTTAACGCGAGCAATTTTTAACTCCAGCCTGTGACCTGGGAAAATCCCAAACGTGGGAGACTCTGAACGTTTACCAGGCAGCTCCTCTAGAAATGAGACTGCTACCATCCCAAAGGAACAGGTTATGACAAAAACAGGTTTACTTCCTCGCTTCTAGTCAATAAAACCCAATTAATCTACTAACCAGGAGACAAATACTTGTAAGTGCTGCAGATACAAAAGACAAAAACAAATAACAACAAAACCTGGCCCCAAGGAATTTTCAGTGTAACGGGGGAGACAACATGTATACACACAAACTTCACACGCACGCGTGCACACACACACACAGAGTCCACACTACAGCTACAGAGGGAGCCCCCTCAGTGGGCTGAGGCTCTTGCTAGCTCATGGTCCAGGCCTCCTGCTGCTGGCTCTGGGCTGCCGGGGGCTCAGCTGTGCCCACCACTCCCCTGGACTCATCCTGCCATGCCCATGTTGCCCTTCGTGCCGGGTACAGGACCAAATCTGGGGCTGCCTCCTTTGTCAACAACTTATTTCCTCACTTCTCCCCAGACAGAATTTACCGCAATCACTCGGCACAACTCACTGAGTGATGCGCAGCACCTCACAAACGTACAGAACAGTGACTCCACCAGACACTGGGGAGAAGATCGAATTTAGACAAGACTCAGGCCCCTCCCTCCCTCAACGGACCTTACAGTCTAGGACGGGAGAAAACACAGACAAAAATAACCACGCTATTTTGCTTGGAGCTCTCCTCTGCAATGATCACATTGTAGTGTGTTGTTATTATTGTAAGCACCATCATCATTATGAGTGTCTATTTCTTATCTCCTCTAATAGACTAGCTGAGAGGGCACCAAGCCAGCCAGACCACGAACATCCCCTTCCCCAGAGAGTGCCCACCCTCTTCAGCCCATCGAGTCACCCGCTAGAATCCTGCCAGACAGATGGGAGGTCACAGAGCCACGGCGGCTGCCACCTGTCCAGCATCGGGTTCTCCTGAGTACGTGTACTCTTTCCCCATGAGCTCTCTGAGAGCACAGCCTGCCTTGCCTTCCTCTCTGCATCCCTAGCGCTCAGCACAGCAGTTGCGCATCCCCTCCCTAATTCATTACTCGCTCCTTCAGGATGGATTGCTTCATCTTTGTATTCCCAACACCTGGAACACAGGCTATCCAGGGTAAGAAACATTCTAAAAACTGAACAGAACGCATTAGATTTCCCCTGAGAACAAGTCTGCAAGGTCTGAGCATTGTTATTAATCCTACGGATGGTTCACCTTACAGGTTTGTGCTTTTTTGGAAGAAAACAATTGCTAATTTTTAAATCTCAAGCCCAAGACACCAGTCACCCTTCACCTCCACAACTAGAAGAGCACATGAAAAAACTGACCAGTTGGGTGGAAGGCGTAGGTCGCTGATTTTACGGAGATCATCCTTACAAGCCAGCATGGGGAACATCTGCTTTGCATGTCTCATGAAAAATGGGAAAAGATCATCCACGTGAGCTGTGGGACAAGAATCAAGGTCAGCAAAAGGGTCGGAGTGGACACAAAGGCTGTTCCTGACTGTTTTCAGCTGGGGAAGGTTCCCAGGCAGAAAGAGGAAGGATCTGAGGACAAGAGGCTCCTCGGACCCTGTTTTGGGGTCCCACACTGTTTCTTCTCCAGTGAGTATCTGCCAATAGCATCGTTCAGGTGCAGAGACTGAGAGATTTAAGGGCATAAGAGTAAATTACGTGGTTTTAAGTTATTCAGAGAAAACCTGTGTTTATCTCACTAGAAATGCCAGTGCAAAGAAAGGTAAGTTTACCCAAGACTCCAAGATCAGCAGGAGGCTTCCTTCATAAAGACAAATTAATCCCCTGTAAGAAACTACTGCCCTGAGCCTCCAGCCCTCCTGGTGCTCCACCCAAAGGTAACCTAGCTTTTCTTGTACGCTGAGGGCTGCCCCAAAAGACCGCAGGGGCTAAACTGGGGAACCCATCTCAGGAATCCTCATTTTCAACTAAGACATAGTGGGGGGTTATTTAGTGACTGTCCCTCCAGGTGATAATTTTAAAAATTAGACTCCTCCCAAGTTTAATTTCTAAGCCATTAAGTGAAACCTTGAACCATTTCCCGAGGAAGTTACTGATGCCTAAACCAAAACAAACAGGACTCTTGGAGAAAAGTATACAAGGAGCAAGGAAAGGGGGGTAGGGGGAAGGGCGAGGAGGGAAATGCCAGGCTTGAGCCTGTGCAGACCTAACCGCCCCTCCCTCCCATCTACTTGCCTGCACTGAAGCAGATATCATTCAGTGTGATGTGGATGTCCACGTCCAAGGACTGAGACTGTAAGATATAATTTCTAAAACTGATGAAAGCTTGGTGGAAAAGTCGGGCTGTGAAACATAGAAATCAAATTAAGGAAGTGAATTTTACATTTAAAAAACAAAAAAAACAAAAAAAAACCACCTTGATCTCACAAAAAATTTCGTTCGTGCTTAATTCTTATTTAAAAAAAATCTGAAGCAATCTCAAATCACATCTCATACCTGCAGATAAACAAAGGATGCTACCTGAGAGAAAATGACCCAGATAACGTGAGAAGTATTTCAGAACTCTTTCCCAAATACAACTGAGACATGGCCAGACTAAAGGACTTGGGCGTTTCTGCAAACTGGCCTCCTCAAGGGCTTGAGTTCCAAGAGCAGAAAACAGTGTGACAGCCCAATCTGACATAACACGACTTAAAAAGAAATCATTTTAGAAAGTGGAATTTTTTTTTAAAAGACAGGTAGAGAAGCCCTAAATGATAGGAATGAGCCTTTGCTATAATTCTGGTCACATTTTTATGGATTCTAATACAATCCATTCATATAAGGGAAAAGAATCTTGAGTCCTAGCATTATTAAATGGATGAGATTCTACCTCCCAGCCCTGGAAGACTGCCTGTTGCCATTTTTTCTAGAAACCCATATTTTCTGAAGTTACCTTCTTTTTCAATTGTTTTCAGTCGTGAAAACAATTTGTAATCTTTGTAATCCCATTTGGGGTTTTCCTGGCAAAGAGACTGGAGAAATTTGCCATTTCCTTCTCCAGCTCATTTTACAGATGTGAAAACTGAAGCTAACATTGTTAGGTGACTTGCCCAGGGTCACACAGCTAATGCCTGAGGCCACATATGAATTCAGGTCTTCCTGACCCTAGGACCAGCTCTCTGTGCACTCTGGCGCCACTTAGCTGACCCTGGTGCTAACTCACTCCATCAAAATCAGTTTATAGTAGAACCAGCCCCTGTTTATGCTTCCCTTGGTTTATCTAAAACAGAGCATCAGAGGATGTAAGGAGTGGAAGAGACCTCAGAAATCACTTAGTCCAGGGGTCTCATTTCTCAGGCGAGGAAACTGAGGCTCACAAAACCCTAAGTGCTCTGGCAAATGAGGGAATGTGTTTTGCTTGACCCTACATGTCTGTAACAGGTTTTGTTTTCCTTGCTTTCTCAATGGAGGCAAGGAGGAAGTGGGAGGAGAATTTGGAGCTACAAATAAAATCAAACTGAATTAACAAACAAATAAAGCCTGAGTATCTGTAAGATCCAGAGACAGTCCTGGTTCCAAGGCCAGGACTCTCCCCACTAACACATGCTGGAGCAGCCCAGCCCCATCAAGGTGACCTCCCCATTTCCTCCCCTTTATTCAATGTGTCCACAGGCCACTAGACCTGTTTATTCAATCCCCCCTGGTGTGGCCTGCTCCAGAAGCAGAAGGGTTTACTCTATGTCTCTATTACACAGTGAGCAGGCTGCCTTACCGTCCAGACCATAATCGGTGCCCAGTTTCTGTATTTCTTTCCTCTTGTAAAATCTGTCTAAGACTTTCCTGACTTCAGCTGCAAGAAAGATAAAAACAGATTGAATTTTGTTATTTACCATTTGACACATTTTCCTTGGGGTATACCAAGGGAAAACTGCCAATAAAAAGATGCCCATACCCTCTGACTCAGAGATTCCACTACTAGGCCTACATCCCAAGGGGGGCATTGGTCAAAAGAAAGCTCCTCATACAAGCCAAAATGTTTACAACTGTGTGGCTCACAGTAGCAAAGAACTAGAAACCAAGCCAATGTCCTTTGGGGAGTGGCTGAAGAAACTGTGGAACAAGAATAGCATGGACGTCACTGCGTTGGAAGAGACAAAGAACATGATGGACAGATGGAGAGTAAAGCAGATGGGTCAGACTACTGTGATGCAAACAGAGGCAGCCCGCCCCAGAGAAGCACAACTTGGTTTTCAGACTTTGGCTCTGCTCACTGTTTTCTCTTTTGTTTTCCCTTAAGAAATTATTTGTCCAATGGGATTGCTATGGAGTGGGGGGCGGGAGGGGGGGACGGAGGAGGAATATTGGGAGAAATTTTAACAAAAAACCAAAGTTACCCATAAGTTTATTTTTTAAAAAGGAAATGATGCAAAATTATAAAAAACAAGCATGGCCACAAAGAATACGCCTCCTTCTGCTCCTTTCCAGAGGTCCACAAGTGTGGAATGCTACACATATACATCTTAGATGTTTCTCAAAGTAATGATTGGTTTGGCTAATTATTGTTTCTTTACCTCTTTTTCTTTTAAAAAATACATTCTGTTATATGGGATGAGTTTCTGGGAAGGGGTAAGAGAGGATAACAAGGGGAAATTTTGGTAATGTAATGGCCGATGTGGGAATTTGCTTTACTAGCCTATTGTGAGAGCTTTAAAAAAAAAAACACAACCTATTTGATTGCAGTAAGATAATAAATGCTTAGGGGCAGCTGGGTGGCACAGTGGATAGAGCTCTGGCCTTGGACTCAGAGGACCTGAGTTCAAATCCTACCTTAGACACTTAACACTAGCTGTGTGACCTTGGGCAAGTCACTTAACCCCGATCGCCTCACCAAAAAGCAAAAAAGAAAGAGAGAGAAAAGAAAAAAAATAAACGCTTGTAAATTTTAAAATATAATTTAGGTAATGTAAAAAAAAATCAATAAAACTTAAGACATGGTGAGAAGTAAGGAGGTTTCAATCCTGAACCAAAAATTGTACTCTATACTGTGAAAAGAAATTTATCTACTCCTAATTTACAATGTAATTCTTTCCCAAATAAATCAAAAGCCCGAAATCTCCTTAATTAAATAATTGCTAACTCATTTGAGGTACCATTGGTAGCTACTGCTATCACAAAGGCTCAAAGCTACCTTAGCCAATCAAGGAGAACTTCTCCATCCTCCCGCTCCGAGGCTACCTACCAGCTGCCCCCACTCTGGCTCTCACAGATCGGCAGTAACTGGTCAAGCAGCAACAATATTCTTACATTACCTCTGAAGAGACTCAGTGGGGGTGCCCATCCCCCTCGGGATGGCTAAACACATTATGAAATGTGAAAGTAATGGACATCTGTCAGGAGGGTTTTGTGGTTTTTGTTCAATTGAGGGGATAGGAAAAATAACTGTCTAATTAAAAAAAATTAAAAATAAAAACTACTGTACAAAAGTATTTATAACAGCTCTTTCTGTGGTGGCAAAGAATTGGAAATTGAGGGGATGCCCACCAACTGGGGAATGGCTGAACAAGTTGTGGTTGCCATATGATTGTGATGGAATACCACTGTGCTATAAGAAATGATGAGCAGGCAGATGTCAGAAAAACCTGGATAGACTCGTATGGTCAGATGCTGAGTGAAGTGAGCAGAACCAAGAGAACGTTGTACACAGTAACAGCAATATTGTACGATGATCAGCTCTGGTAGACTTAGCCCTTCTCAGCAGAAATCCAAGACAATTTCAAAAGGTTTATGATGGAAAATGCTATCCACACCCAGAGAAAGAACTATGGAGGTTGAATGCAAATCAAAGCATACTATTTGCTCTCTCCTTTTTTTTTTCCTTTTTTCTCGTGGTTTTCCTCATTGATTCTAATTCTTCTTTACAACATGACTAATATGAAAATATATTTAACAGGAATGTGTAAGTAGAGTCTATATGAGATTGCACAGAATTTGGGGGGGAGAAAATTTAGAACTCAAAATCTTAAGGAAGTAAATGTTGAAAACTAAAAAAATAAATAAATTTTAAAATAAAAATAAAAACTGCTTTACAAAAAGAGCCTTAATATAGGAACATTGTTTCTTCTCAAACTCAAAACATAAACAAGGTTAAAAGGGATCTGATTCTAAACCAAAACAGCAGGGCTATTTTTAGCCTCCTCAGCAGTGCCATCTTACAAGGAAGCAATGCCCATTAACATCAACCAGGAACTTGATTCTGACTCTTTCCTCTCTAACATACATGGTTTTTTCTCTTCGAAGTGCCTGAGATTTAGCTTTGTTTCTTCATTCTCAGGGTCACTACCTCAGTTCTTATTTCCATACAATTACTACAAGGAAGCACATGTATCATCTAGCTCTCCTCCCACACCAACCCTTGCAAACAACCTGCACAGCTCACGCTGGCTAATCTTCCTACAATACTGCCCGGAATGGATCTGGAATGAGCTTAAGAGTCTACCTGTGGGCCATGGAGTCAGGAGGACCTGAGTTCAAATCTGGCCTCAGACACATAACACTCACTAGCTGTGTGACCCTGGGCAAGTCACTTAACCCCCATCACCTAGCAAAAAAACCACCAAACAAACAAAAAGAATCTACCTGTGGTGCCTCCCACTTCCTCAAGTCAGAAACCTCCGCCCCTGGCCCTGTCTGTCTGCTTAGTCTGTTCTCTGACCCTTCCCTTCATCTCCAGGCCACGGATGCCCCCCCCCTTTTCCCCAATTCCTTCAGCCATCAAAGGGCCACACAGAGAACATCTATGCTCCTGAGCACGCTGTGGGGCTGTTTTCTAATCTCTTACCAGCTGAATATCACAGGATATTTTATTTAGTAATCAAGGAAAGAATCACTGAAAAAGAACAAAGGAGGATGATGGACCAGCCTAAAGGACAATCTCAACAATCAGCGTAAATTCTTTACGCTCCACACTGGGATTAACATTCTCTAGAGGACTGTAACTGATGTTCTTTGAACCCCAGAGCAAGTTTGTAAGAGAAACGCTAGCACCAAAAAAAGGCAGGTGTGTGCGTGCGCGTGCGCTGTTTTCAACAATATTAATTAAAAATGAGGCTTTGTTTCACTGTTCACATTTGAATGAACTGAATCCAGGACATAATAACCACTCATTAAAAATAACAAGTGATTAATTCAGACCCCCTCGGATGTCAGCCCGAATCCAAACAAGATTGGACGTCACAGCTACTGACTAATTATGAACCTTCCTCATGCTGACTTCAATGGGGCCTGTGGATGTAAGTTCACAATCTGTCATTCTGGGGAAGGTAAGTCTTCTTAATTTAAGTGGACAAAGAACCCAAAGTGACTTAAAAGTGTCACCTCACTAATTATTCAATCCATCAACAAGGTTTTTAGGAAGTGTGTTCACTCTTGGGTGAGGCACGGGGCAAAATCACCAGGTGCTCAGAGCCCTCAGAGGCGGTCTCAGGGGATCTGAACTGAGTCTGGAGGGAAGCCGGGAGAAGGTAGGGTGCAGGCAGGGGGCACACCTGGTGAAGAGGCAGGCTGGGAAATGTCACGAGCTAAGGACTGGAAGAAGCCAAGGCTCACGTGGAGAACTGCCCCCTGGCAAAAGGAAGCTGACTCACAGAAATTCCTTTGCATGCATTGACTCCGGTGCCCAACTGTGCCCAGCAGCAGTCAGGGCCTGGAAGGCCGGGCATGTGCCAGCCAATCAGGGAGGGGAGACCTGGGTTCAAACCCCACTCCCCACCCCCAACTAGGCCCACTGAAGAGCCCTGCTCCTATCCAGTGACAGCCTCAGAATCTAAAGTACGAAAAGGTGGCCCAGTCATCTGTCACATTAGGCCTACAATTGAACCCTCCATGCTGGGCCTTCCTTAGGAGATTGCCTCCAATTAACCCAGCACGGATCTTGTTAGTAACAGGGCTATTTGCAAATTGGCTGCCTCTTGCTTTTCTTTTGTATTCCCAATGCTTCACACAGGGCCCAGCACACAGTAGGCACTTAATAAAGGCCCTTTTTGGTGTTTGTTTTTTTTTAAAGCCAGTAAGCCATTACAATTCCAGGGGGTGGGGGGCTTCCTCCTGGTTGCCAGAAGTGAAGGCAGCACTAGGCCTAAGGAGTAAAGGAGTGGCCAGGGTTCCCTGCTCCCCTAAGGGGGTACAACTGGTACGTGGTTTACCCTGAAGGGGTAAAAAGGCATCAAGTGATAAGACCTCTGTGCTCTCTTGCCTGTGACCAACAGAACACACTAAGAAGAAATCCAGGTGGAGTTAGAGGGAGTCTGAAGAAGGAGGCACAAGGGCTTGCACAACTCCCCACCCCACCCCCAATCATCTCCTAAGTATGTGACCTTGGACAAGTCATTAAACCTCTGTGTCAGATTCCTTGTCTGTAAAACAAGGGGATTGTAAATCAAGGCTCCTTTGACAACTTTCATGTTCTGTTTTTGGATCCCCAGCCCTAAGAGATACAAAGTACATAAGGCATTCCATTCAATATGACAAGTAAGGACCTACCATGTGCCTGGCACTGTGCAAGGGATGAGACAAAAGGCAAAATGGAAGCCATGTTTATCCTCAAAGGGCTTCCATTCTGTTGGGGGGAAAGGTGAAGTCCTTGGCAGGTGCACAGGGCCCCTCGAGCTACTTACGAGGAGCCCCAGCAGCCTTGGGCTGGAACGTGGCCTCCTTGGGGCCTCCCTCCTTCCAGGGCCCATGTCTCTCTCTCCCCTGTCCACTGGCTCTCCTCCGTCCACAGCACTTGTGCCTACTACATCCCAGGAGCTGTGTTAGGCATTGGGGATAGAGACAGAAAATGAACCACGTACACTTAGAAACACAAAGTAAAGACGGTCTTTTTCACCTCAGTGATAATGGTGGAATCGTAGGTGCACCAATCCAGGATTACAATCATCTCTATTTCTGGAGTTACACGGGACCTTAGGGAGTCTCCTGGGAACCCTTCACTGGAGTAAGACCCTGCCTCCTGGCAAGAAGATGAGGCAATGGAGGCGGAGGATGTCTGAGGGCCCCCGGCCCTAAGAAGCAGCCCCAGCAGCACTCACAGCAAAGTGCAAGGTACCCCAAAGAGTCCAGAGAAGACAAGGATGTGCATGTGCACAGGGGAGTGATGGCAGCTCTTTTTGTCGTGGCTGAGAACTGTCCACCACGAGGGTACCCATGGGAAGAGCCAGTTCTCAGAGAACCCTGTAAGGGCCTGTCTGGACTGATTCAGAGAGAAGTGAGCAGAACCAGCACAAAAGAGCAGGGGGGCTAACTCTCTCTGCACAAAGGGGCGAGAGACACGGTTTTTGGACAAGGCCAATAATGGGGTGCTGTGTTTGCATACACTTGTTACAAGGGTTTGGGTTTTCTTTTAGTTCAATTGGGGAAAGGGAAGGTGGGAGGGGAAGAAATGAAATGCTTGTCAATTGGGAAAAACAGTTTTTAAAAAGTGATGGGCAAAGTCTACTTGGGGCCACAGATGTGGAGCTTAGAAAAGACTTCAGGTCACCAAACCCAACCTTCTTACTTCATAGAGGAAGGCGAGGTCCAAGGGGGCAGTGTCCATAGCCGGATTTGAACCCAAGTCCCCTGACCCCTGAGGTACTGCTTTTTTCTTCTCTCCTCCTTCTCTTTCTCCCCAGTCAAGAGCTGTAGCTGTCTTCTGTCCCTCATAGCTGGTCTTCCAGCCTCAGTCTCTTGCCTCTTCAATACTTCCTAATACCCAGGTGCCAAAGTGGTCTTCCTTAAGGACAAATCTGACCACGTCACTACCCGACTCAAATTTCAGTAGTTTCTTATCAATCAATAATCATTAAGTGCCTACTATGGACCAGGCACTATTCTGCTAAGAGCTGAAATATAAAAAGAAACAAAAGGTAGTACTGCCCTCAAGGAGTTTACAGTCTAATATTAGGAAGAGAGAACATGCAAACAAATATATACAAACTATATATAGGATAAATAGGAAATAAGCAACAGAGAGAAGGCACTAGAATTAAGAGGGGCTGGGAAGGCTTCCTGTAGAAGGTGGGATTTTAGTTGAGACTTACAGGAAGCCTGGGAAACCAGCAGCTGGAGCAGAGGAGGAAGAGCGGTCTAGCCATGAGGGAGGGGCAGCAAGGCTGCCCTGTAATAAAACAAAACTCCCAGTGAGCTTTCCAAATTCTTCTCCACCTCACCCCATGGCTCCTTCCATCCTCACTGTAGGTCCCAATCTCCCTCCGATCTCCTCCCTGGGCTGCAGAGGATGCTTCCTTCACTTCCTCCAAGAAGCAACTCAAACAGGCCCTCTCCTGAGCCCTCCAAGTTTGTTCTCAGCTGCCTGGTATTAACAACTCACGTGCTGTGACTTTATTCCAAACGCTCCTATGTCCCTGCTGTCTTCCACATTAAGATGGAAGCTGTTGGTGAGAATGGTTTCATTCATTCCCTTTGTGTCCCTAGCACATAGTAGGCACTTAAATACTTGATCTTACGGACTGACTAATTGATCTTGGAGAAGAGATGAGGGACGGGGGCCAAGGCTTAAGGGATGCCAAGTACAAGAAGAGGAAAACCCAACCTGCAGCAGCTGGGAGGGAAGTGGCATCCCTGGGGTCACCCCACCACCCCTAAATTAAGCTCCCACAGGTAAGCTGGGAATGCCTGCATTGGCAGAATCAAGATGTCTGGGAAACAATTCTCTTGTCAGTTCCTCATTTTCTCCCTCAGCAGCACCTAGTGCAACCCCACCCCCCCAAACCTGATTCCCTCACCATCCCATGTTCTTCTGACCAGAAAATCCTAGTCACCTCCCTGACTGAAGAAACAAAGGATGCCACAGAACTAACTCTCCATCACCTCTCGGTCTCCCTGAACCCCCAGCTGTCAACCTGAGGGGACAATACAGCATCTCCAGAAGAGGGTCCTTCTATGCTGAGGATCTCAGCCCCAGTAATACATGTTCTGGTTTAGAATTGGAAAAGGCCTTCGCACTAATCCACGTCAGTATTCCAGTGAAGGATTTCTCCCCTTTCACCTCTCCAAACACACATATTAAGAGGCAGCTGGTGGTACAATAATGCATGGAAGACTGCCCCTCTGCCTCAAACATGTACTAGCTGTGTGATCCTGGGAAAATCACTTCATTCTTCTCAGCCTCAATTTCCTCATCCACAAAATTAAGATAAAGCCCTTACCTCATGTGGCTGTTGTAGCAGATAATGATATTTAAAGAACTTTGCAAACCTTAACCTTAAAGTGCTACACAATTGTTTGCTATTATTACTATTAAGAGACACTTTGGAACAGTGGGAAATGAACTTGGGAGTTACAAGTCCTCGGTTCAAATCCCAATATTTCCAACTGTGTGACCTGGAGCAAGTAATTTCTTTTGGCCTCAGCTTCCTCATCTGCAAAATGAAAGACTGGAGTCGATGACCTTTAAGGTCCCTTCTAGATATAAAGCCTGTGAGGCTATTTGAGGGGTGGGAGGGGTATGATGCCCTTTAGAAGAAACTGGGGTTCTGAGGGGTGGGATGGAGAGAAGCCAAGAGAAACCTAGCCTGGAGCACAGCCCAGTTCTACCAGTATTTCCAAAATCACATTTTCAAGGGGTGTGTATGTGTAGGTACATGTACACATACGTATATATGCATATGCATATACACACACACACACACACACACAATTTTTATACAAAAACTCTGAGGTTAATGCTAAGGTTATGGTTTATTTCCATTTTACACATGGGGGAACTGAGGCTCAGGAAGGGCTGCAAGAGACCCGAGCTCACCTACGGAGGCACAGCTTCCGCGGTGGGCGTTTCTCCGCGGGTGTTTACCTTCGGGGAGGTGCCCAGTTCTGCCACTGCCTGGCCTCAGTTTCCCGAGGCGTGCTCAGGGTCTCCCCGCCGGTGGGCTCAAGCCCAGGGTCAGATCCCAACGTTCTCACTCCAACGTCGAGCCTCTACCACAGACACAGACATGGCGGGCTCTGCCCCCTTCCAGCCCCCGCCTTGCCCAGCGTTTAAACGCTCAACAAACGTCTGTCAAGCACCTGCTATGTGCCAATGACAGTGCTAAGAGCTGGGGACACAAAGAGAGGCCACAAAAGCAAACCCCCCGGACCCTGCCCTCGAGGGGCTCCCGATCTAACAGGGACACAGTGACCCCAACCGCTTAACAAAGAGCCTCACACACATAAAGCGCTTAATAAGTGCTCTACCTATCTAACCACCTGGTCCAACCTCTCGCTTTACAATTCGACAAACTGAGGCCCGAGAGGAGAACTTGCCCCACACGGGGCGTTGTGGGGGGGGGGGGAGGGAAATGACATAAGCAGAACCGGGGGTTGGAGGCGACCTGGGCTTATGGGCTCGGAGTTGTTACCGGTAGGGAAACTGAGGCCCAGAGCGGTTAAGTAAACGCGACGCCAGGAGGATGGGAAGCCAGGTCCCCTTCCCCCCCGGGAACAGACAAGGAAACTGAGGCACGCGGAGGGGCGGGGAGAGCCTGGCAGGGCCGGGACTGACCTTTGTTGAGCGGCCGCGTAAGCTCGGCCCCCACGTCCCCCGCGGCGCTGGGTCCGAGCGGCTTCACGGGCAGCGGGACGTAGAGGGACGTGTTCGGAGCCTTGGAGCCGCCCGAGGACGACGAGGAAGAGGAGGAGGACCAGGCCCCAGCGGCAGCCCGGCCCAGCAGCCGAGGCCCCGGCCCCCGGCCCGGCCGCAGCGCGGGGCCCACCCGGGCCGGGAACCAGACCCAGCGCAGCGCGCACCACGGCAGCGACATGGACACTCGGCCTCGAACGGAGCCCTCCCCGGGCCGGGCGGACGCGCGCGCGACTGTGACGCAACCGACCGCGACCGGCCCCAGAAGGACCCCGACCGAGCCCGGCCTGCCCCAGGATGTGCCTGACGCCAGCCGGGAAAAAAAGTCCCGCCGAGGTTATTTCTCCGCGGCGAATGAGGCCACTTCTGGGCAAGATACGTCCCGCGGCGGAGCCTTTCTCTTCTCTAAGATCCAGCCCTGAGGCGAACGTCCTTCGGCAAAGAAAACAAGCAGGCGTTTCCAAAGGCCTCAGAGGGCATAGTGCGTGGCCTTAGGACTTCCGACCACAGCGCGCCGGGGATTGGAGGGGGCCGTGTCACGTGCCTCGGGCGGACACACGTGCTGCGGCGCACGTGGGCAGCAAGGACATACAGTCAGGATGGAGCTGGGATGAGTCCTTAGTCCGGGCACTGAGACCAGAAAGGCTACCCGTGTTTGCCCTTCACTGTGACCTTGACCTTTCCCCCTTCCCTGGTGACCTCCCCGCCTGCTCCCGGGGAGCACTGGAGCCACCGGGGCCGAGGCAGGGCGGGGCATCCCTCCCCTCTCAGCTGCGGCTGGGGGGAGGGGGGCCCTTGGAACCGCTGGAGGAAACTGAGGGCGGGCCGACTCCCCCAAGGTCACTGCCAGAGGAAGGGGCAAAGCCGGGATTTGAACCCAGGACTCCCAAGTTCAAACCTTCTCATTTTGCGGTTCGGTAAGAGGCAGCAGGGAGCTGGCCTGGCTGCCCGGAAGAGCGGGGGTTCAAAGCTTGGCGCTGGGGTCATGTCCCGCGTCTGGCCGAGCGCCCTCTCCCCAGCCTAAGGATGGTTTCACAAAGTCGACAAGCATTTATGGGTCGCCTCCTATATCTCAGTTTCCTCCTCTGTGAAATGGGGATAAGAACATCACCTACTTCATAGGGTGCTGGTTGTGAGGATCCCAAGGGTTGTGTGTGAAGCGCTTTGCAAACCCCGAAGAGCTGTATTTGTTGTTCAGTCGGACCCAACTCTCCCAGACCCCATTTGGTGTTTCCTTGGCAGAGACACTGGAGAAGTTTGCCATTTCCTTCTCCAGCTCATTTTACAGATGAGGAAACTGAGGCAAACAGGGTGAAGTGACTCACCCAGGGTCACACAGGAGGTGTTTGTGGCTAGATTTGAACTCTGGTCTTTCAGACTCAGATCCAGTGTTCCATCCACGGGTGTGGTTCCAGAATTTTCAGGGTCCTTGCAGGCCACTGCAGGAATAAGCCAGCAAGGATACGGACAGTTTATTTATCCACTTAAGAGGGTGACACACCCCATCGCTAGGGGATGGATATGTGGGCAGTTCCACAGATGACATAGATGTACAGTCTCTGCCTGAGCTGCATGACCCAGAGAGTCGGGGTAAGGAAAGGTACGTTTCAGGAAAAGAAAAAAGGAGGCTTACTTAAACTGTTAGAAAGGCCTTTAGCATAGATAGCCATTTACACCCCACTAAAGAAAACTGCATCTTCTTTAACAGTCCATTAACATTTGGTATGCCCCTACTTTGTACCTTATTTGGTTGAATAAAGAGAAATGGATGAGTTCCTGAATTTTGAGGGAAGAGAGGTGCTAAAGGTCACCTTCAGTACATTCAGATAAAATAACAGTAAATGCAGCACAAAATGGTGTCAGTTATGTTCTCCTAAAACCCCACTTTCAACAATTTCTCCCTTTGGCCCTGGATTAAAAAAATAAGTTTTTAAATCACTGGGCCATATAAATATTCACAGAATTGCAAGACACTTATTTGTACAGAACCATAGTAAATTTGACAGAGAATTAACAAAAGGATTAAAAAGTCTGAACCTCTTAACAAGATTAAAGGGTCAGAATCATTTCCAAAACTTAAATCACATCCTATACATCTTCTAGAGCTATTGATTTAAATATCTTTAACTATTTGGCAATATTATCTACATTCAAGAGGATGGGGAACCCAGACCTCAAGAGTAGGATCTTATGGAGAGCTAAGATACTCCCAGTCACAGGCTGAGATATAATTAACAATTGTACAAGGAATTAACATGAACTGAATTTAAACTTCCAGTTTAAAATTTAACATTTGTGTACTTTTCCGTAAGAGTCAAGGCATTGTAATGTAAACAATGGACAATAAATGTAACTGTATAATCACGAAAACAAAAAAGAACAAGGAATAGGATGTGTCTTAATGTCTGTTTCAACAGGCATTGTCTTTGTCTTGGGTTTAGCTGTCTACTGCATGAAGTTGTTTGCTTCTGGGAAAGATTTTCCCTTGGAAATTCCATGTCAAAAGAGTCTGTCCTAGTATATGGTCCGTAAAGTATCCAGGTTGTTTCACTCAAACTCAGCGATATGCATCCCTGAATCAACCTCTTGTATGTTTAACTGGGAATCAACTGTTACAAGATGGTACTGATGAGGATGGGATCTGGACCCCAAAAAGGAAAAACCTGGACTTTGCCACAGGGCCCTTTATTATTGCCTACCCCCAGTCTCCCAATTCTGTTACCCTTAACCTAGCCTGCCTTCTATTGTCTTATCTTCCTATGGACCCCTGCCACTTCCCACCGTTAAACTCCATTCTCCCTTGGCCACATGGTATGGTCCAGGCCCCAGGTGTTCTGTTCACCCCAGCTTACTGGCCACTCCCATCCAGATCTTCCTGAGACCCCTCCTCCAATCACCCCACTATTTGGCCACTCCTAGATCTCTCCAACAGTCTTTCTGTATATAAGGTCCATCTTGTCTCCACTGCTCAGATTCCTTAAAAACCTAGCCAATAGCTCACAAATGTTCAGATTCCTTAAGAGTCTGGCCAATGTGGTGGATCCTTAATAAACCTTGTCTCTAGCTGAAAGAAGGCTTGGGTCGAATTCTTTCCGGCAGGACCCGCATGTCGTGATTTTGGGGTCCCAGCACCCCAAACCTCTAGACCTCATCAGTACCTGGAATGGGACTACCACCTTGTTTCTGCAGAGATACTTGTTTCAGTAGAACTTTACAGGTTTCAAGCCACTTGTGGAGGTTTCCTAGATAACATTGCTTAAAACTGCTAGTAATGACAGTATAATTTAATAGGGTCTTACAAAACCTAATCACATCAGCCTTGAAATAAATAGTTCATGTAGTGAAAGCCAGTACATACAGAAGGCTTATGGAGTTAACTTTATGAACATCAGGGCTATAGGAAGAATATCAAATTAAGTTACCCATAATCCATCTGGAAATTTGAAGAGTTTCAGTTTTCACATACCATTTGTTTTTTCTATCTTTGCTTGAATCCTATCCATTGTATAAAATAATGTTATCCATAAGCTAGAGAAAGCATCTTTTTAAAAAAAATCCTTGAGGACCTGACTTTGTAACATTAAGTCCTCTATCTTGATATTATCAGAGAGACCTCAAACAGAAAAAAAATGATTTAAAAGTTTTTGTGCATGAATTAAAGTAATACTATATCTAAGAGCCTCTGTCCAACTTGAAACCATTTAAACCACATCCAAAGCCCATGTATTTGGGCATGTGTATGGCTAACTATCTATAGATAATCAAATGGCCCTGAAGGAGATGCAGTTCTTTGTTCTATTTCTTTTTTTTTCAGTCAAGTTTTCTGTTATCTCCAGGTCAAATTTAAAATATATCATTTACTGTCATCATCTTTACTTAACCTTTTGTTATTGTTTTCACTGTCACAAAAGCAGAATTTATAAGACTAACACAGTTACAGTTATCTAGACTCCTTTAAGTGTATTGTTTTACCTAATGGAAGACATTTGGTAACCAATCACATATAGAAAGTCTAATCCAATTGTTTTTCTCAAACTAAAGTTTACTAATCCATTCAGATGTAAGCTTTTACATCTTTATCACGTGACATCTTTATCATATCCCCCTTTGAGGATATATTTTATCCTATCATTCACCAAAAAAAAATGTGATATTATATGGACATAATTTTCCAATCCAATAATCATGTATTAAATGCCTACTATGTGCCAGGCACTATGTTAAGCACTGGGGATACAATTAATAAAGGGAACAGTCTCTGCCCTCCAAGAACTTGCAATCTGATGGAGGGAGACACACAGAAGGAGCCAGGAAAAGGGGAGAGGGAGACACACGAAGGAGCTGAAACACCAGGCAGAGCAGTAGACACGGTTTCTGCTAAAGGAAGGTATTGGGAGGGGGTTGGTACTCTGCCCTCTAGCCTTCCAAGCACAGGGGAGTAGAGGCTGGGGAGGGACAGGGTGTCAATCAGGGCTTGAATTAGCAGCAGGGTTTAGTGATGAACTTATCCTGGGAGGGGTATCTCTTTGGAGTTGAAACCTGGCAGAGCTGCAGATGCAAAGTGGAGCGAATATATAACAAATTAAACCAATAAGCAAGGAGATGCCAAGTCTCAGAACTTATTTTCCCTGGTTGAGAGAAGTCATGGTCAGAAATTCAGAACGGTAAAAATCAAAGCCATAGACTCCTGTGTACTCTTGTCTCATAGCAGTAGCCCACACGTGCTTACACATTGTAGCAATAAGATTGATTTATAAGTGCTCTCAAGTTCTGCCATGGTCAGAGAAAAGGAGGATGAGGGACATGGATGGTTATAAAAGACTGAATTTGGGTAGGATCAGATAAGTCTCACAGAAAAAAGAACATTTTTAGGAAAAGAAAAAAAAAAAGGCTTAAACTGTCACAATGGCCTTAGCATAGACCAGAATAGACCATAGCATTTATGCCAGGACAAAAAAAACCAGTATCTTCATTTGTTAGTCATTTTAGTTAATTAGCCTTGGAAAAGCTGCTTCTACTACATGCCTTATTTAATAAGATAAAGAGAAGTGAGTGGGTTCCTGGGACTATTCAGAGTCCTATGAGTTTCCTTTTGTAAATGTAAAGTGATTGTGGGAAGACAGGTACCCAGGCCTAAATGCCTAAAGTCACAGACTGACAACCTGTAGGAAGTACACCAGG